CTTTCTAATTGAGCAGCTTACAAACTTTTAGGTTTTGCCTTCTAATTTTAGTTGATTATGGTTATATACTTTGATTGTGTATTACATCTGCTGGTAGGCTCACTCATGTTTTTTTCCTCTGTATTGCCTTCAAGCAGGGTATGCACAGCAGAAGACCTACAACTACATCAGCAGCTCCTACTTATCCCAATAGGATGTACCCTTAGCTCCCGACCGTATACCCAGTATAGGAGTTCAGTAAAAATTGGTCTTCCCTATGGGAGTAATGGTTATTGATTTCTAGGATATTTGATCAATGGGGTCTTGCTATGGATAACAGGTACAGGCCTAGGTGCCGTAATGGATAGTATGGTTATGGCAACGAGAGTCAGGATGGAACAATCGAATTAAACACAAGTCCTACATCTGGACGTTCAACAACCAAAAACTGCCCTATTTTCTTGTTTTCCTCGGTAAGGATCCTTTCCTCATTTGTTATTTTGGTATGGATGTCAGGTTAGTTTTGTTTGCCTGATATGCAGTTCACGATGAAATTTCAGGTGAATACAGGTGGCCAGTTTGTTGGTGTTGCTGAAATGACTGGTGCTGTTGCTTTGAGAAAACCCTACAGTATTGGCAACAGGACAGGTGGAATGGTTCCTCTGTTAAGTGCCGCATTGTCAAAGACGTGCCTAGCAATATTCTCAGGCACATCATCCTAGAGAACAATGAGAACAAGCCTTCTGTGTGTAGGTGAGTGAAAAATCCTTTTGTGCAGAAAGTTCTAGCTAATTAGAGAATGCTAAGAAAACCATCCATCTGGATGTAGTGACAACAGCGCCATGGATATAGGCTTAAAAATGAAAGATTCTTTGCTAGGTTTAAGACCATCTCACTGTTATATTTAACCCAGATTCTGGTGTCAGCGTTTAGATTTATTAAAACCAAATGTCCATTCTTAATTCTTAATTTTTTTCCATGCTTAATTACTTCATATCAGTTCTAGAGAATTATATTAGACCACAAGTACTTATGTCATATAGTCAGATGTATTCTAGGCTTCATGGATAGCTGATGATTAGTGACAGCTACACATATATATGCTAGCCTTGCAATGTTCCTATGAAACATATATTTAGAGCATGTAGTCCTTTGGTGGATGGAAAAAGACTACAGCGAAAAAGACATGGAGTTGGCCGGTCAACTAACTAAAGTTTTTGCCTTTTATTTGTACTGACCTCCTGATTTCTTTCTTCCTTCGCTTAGATGTGTGTTTAGCTGATTTTGTTATGGATCCACCACTGGTTGTTCTCCGCTTCGGCCCGCCACATATTTCATGTTCTCAGCTTCCTGGTCCTTTACCTTCTCCGGTATAGTTTTGTCTGTGAGCCGATGTTGTCCTCAATGAGTTTAGTTGCTAGCGACATTTAGGGTATAATGTCACTATGTAAAGTATCCCCTATGCCTATTCATAGTCTTTGTGTTTTGGTCTTGTCATCCCTGCCACTTCTCAAGGTTCTAGCATGCTCGTCCTATTTTTCCCAATGCCTGCGAAACATGTCTGAAGCTATGCTCAGTTGCCTGTATATGTTGCATCAGTTTCTTTCTATATTTACATTCATGCTGATGAACGAGTTGCATACTTCGTTCTGTTGTCACATTTGATGTGTCCTCTTTTTATGCAAAGATGACCACAAATTCCACTCATTTCTTACAGTTGCTTCTCTTCGCAGAATCATCACGGTGCCAGCTGTGTTTGGCTTCATCAGTCCAGCACGATCACCTCCTCCACTAATTTTAGTTTCCATAGCCCAGTTAATACCTCCTGCTTCTAGGTACTTATTTGGATTATGGCATCTTTGCAAAAATGGATATCCATGTTTATGTGTGCTCGTTCCATGCAAACATACTTCTGTTTTAGATAGCTGAACTCATTTTTTTGGATTGTATTTATGTCCAGGATCGTCACTGTTTTAGCTGTCTTGGGCTTTATCATTTTCAGCAGGGCTAATCACACCACTGATTTTTGTTTTGTTACTCGAAGCCAACATGTTTATTCAGATCTTCAGCTATTACATTTTAGCTTTTGACTTGCAGTGCCAGCCTTCACTGCTGCTGAGGTCTCGAACTGCAAAATGTGTGCTGCTGCTGCTGCAGACTCTGTTCTAAATTTCAGAAAATGTGTTTACCCATGTTTTCTTCACAACCTTTTAGCAGGAACACGTCCTATTTGCAGTATTGCATTCCATTCAAAGCACACATATGTGCTTGGTTGATCTGCCGGCCCACACAGACGGCAGCAGTGAGAAGGAGCGGCTTCCAAGTGTCAACATCTCGGACGACTCCATCGGCGCTGCAGGTCAGTGCCCGCCTTACCCCCTCCCAATGGGAATTGGCTGTGCCATCTCAGCATTTCACCGGGTTGTCTTACTTTGCAGAGGGGATCAGAGGGCAACGAGGTTAGATTGGATACACCGCGCTGTCCTAAGAATCGGTTAGACAGCGATGACAGTGCTGCCGTGCATCCAGCCCTGCCTCCTGGGGCACCCTTGATGCATGCAGTGCATATGCCCTCACTGCTTGCTTGCAGGTACTTGAAAAAGCTACTCCAGTACTCTTGCTGCTGTCTACAGCATGCCTTCCATTGGTGTAGTCACAATGCTGAGATTCCTCAATGTTCGATTGGAAACTATATACATGTCATGCTTTATCCTTATCCCTCTGAACTACACTATTGTGCAATTTATTTCAATACTCTGCATTTTACTATTATTAGAATGATCAAATTGTCTGCTCACATGCTGCCTCTATCTGCAATGGAATGGTCTTCATTGCTCGCCAACCTGTACATATAGTAATCTCTGGGTCGTTCTCATGTGCTTAGAGGCCAAATCCTTCATATTGTGCTGATTGCAGCTCTCCTAAGATACAGAGTTACATCGCATGTTGCCTTTGTTGTCTCGTGCTGCTAAAGGTATGACTTCTCTCTGCAGATTATTTTTCCTACATATATATTTTTTAATTCTTATTTAGCCGTTGTTGACCTCGTTTTGTATTCAATGTTGCAGCTGCTGAACCAATAGACTGCTAGGTATGCCTTTGGGCTTTTGGTTGGACTATGCCCAAAATAATGCTTGTTCTGGATATCGATAATATATAGTTCCAACATCTCTATTTGACTCAAAAATCTTGTCGTTAATGCTGTAAAGCAGCTTTGGGGAATATCCCATGTATTTGTTACTACCTTGGTTATGTTGTCTCTAATAGCCTATTATCCTTTGGTTCAGATGGAGTACAAAAATATGCAAAGTAGGAAAGCCTATTATCTTTTGGTTCAGATGGAGTACAAAAATATGCAAAGTAGGAAATGATTCAGCTTTTCATTGCCTGCAGTTGCTAATCATTTTTCAATCCGTAGATGAAACATATGTTTTCTGCATACACTGTCTTGTATCATGTCCACATATCCAGACCATACCAGCAGAGTGCAGTCCTATAATCTATACCACCCACGCTTTGGGTCAACCACGCGCGCCATTGCGCGCGGTTTGTACTAGTGATATCCAAGACGTGCAGAGGCACTTGTGTCAGTCTTCTGATTTTTGAGTGTGAGAAAATAGGCCCCTGCTCTGCTTCGCCGCCGATGGTCACCCCGCGCTGCTCCTGCCTCTTGCTCCGCCGCCGCCCACCCCGACTGATGGCGCAGGCACCGCCACGCCCACGCTGCGGACGCGACGCTAGTTGGCCACTGAGGTCGTTGTGAGCGTGCTCGCGTCCGATGACGCCGATAGGCGCTGCTAGCGCAAGGAGAAGCGCCGGGCCTTGGCGCGGAAGCCCTTTGGCCTCGCCTCCTACTACCGCTGTGGCATCCCGATGCAAATAACGGAGGAGGCTGCACCGCGATAAGCGTACATTTCAAATGTTTCAGATGTTTTAGAGTATGTTGCAAGTGTTTTATTTGGATGTTGCGTGTGTTTGCAATGTTTTTCAAGTGTTTTTCAGGCGTTTCAGACGCATGTTTCAAATATTTTATCTGTCTTTTTTTTTGTATGTTGCAAGTGTTGCATCTGAATGTTTTAAAAATAGATCGGGTGTTGCACATGAAATGCCCGTGGGAAGCAGGAGGGGGCGTGGGCGGCGCGGGCTCGTGTGGGCGTGGGTGACGTTGGCGTGGTCGAGCGACGTCCGGGTGACGCGGACTCACGTGTGGACGCGTGAAATCGAACTGCAGCCGCGTTTATTGTTGGAATCATGTATGTAATAATGTGTTTCCTTGTGATTGTTGTTGGGGATGGAATGGATGATCTGCCACTGATCATGGATGTGGTTATGATTATGGCACGGCACAGGCACCGCACCGGCCATGACAAACTGGCAAAGCTGAATTTGCATCACTGACGTGCTTTCCACTCAGCTGTCCTTCAACTCTTTCCTTTCTTGTGCTGTCATGGCCTGGCCGGTGATGTTGTTGCTGATGACTGGACAGCCTCCTCCCAGGCAGCGGTTTTACTTTCGTTTATTAGTTAGGATTAGGATTATTATTAATTAAAATATCTATTTTTTTATGACTGGTTTAGTTTTGATTTTTATCGATCCAGCAAAATATATAAATGTGGTCGAGACATTAAGCTTGATGGGTGGTTTCTCTCTGACTCTGCCGAGACGAGATGAGAAATGACAGATGAGCTGATATTACCGTCCCACTTTACTTTGTGAATGAATGAAGCAGACAAGAAACAGAGACGACCCTGATCGCCGGCCGGTGATCTTGATCAGCTACCGGAACCCAAGCATGAGGCGGCAGCCATCGACGGGCGACGCGGTGGGCACGCCGAGGGGCCTGGCGCGCTCCTCCTCGGGCGTCTGGTGGAAGCTGATGGGCGACGCATCCACCGGCGATGCGTCGGAGGTGGACCGGCAGCTGCGCGGCATCGCCGACGAAGAGGCCGCCGTGAGGGCCGCGCGTGGAGAGGCGGCACGCGGGCGCCCCCGCCGTCCGACGCAAGATCACAGGCGCGTCCATGGGCCTTGAGGTGGTGGCGCTGCTGTACGGCCTGTGGAGGGCCAGGAGGCGGGGCAACGGCAGGGCGCCCACCAACACCAGGCCCTTGCTGCTGCTGCTGCTCGCCGTGCCTGCTGCCTTGGCCACCGTCGCCCTCGCTGCATTCGGCTGCTTCCGGAACATGTGTAAGCGCCGCCTAGAGCACTATTCTATCTCTCTCTGCATGGATCATCATATTCATATCAGAGGGATAATCGATGGTTCCAATTATAATTTCCTGGTGTTGAGGTTGAGCATGAGCATGCATATTTGTATATATATTTTTTATTTATGAAGAAACCAAGCCTGATGGTATGATATGATCCTGCTGCTGCTTCATGCATGATCATGGATCTGCAGTGGATCGCAGGGATGAGCAGCAGCTGGAGCGGCTCCGAGCAGAAAGGAAGGCTAAGATTGGCAGCTTCAGGGGAAGCCACCACAACCTGCAAAAGCTCATCCAGGTAAATTCAATTCTCAGATAGAAATAGACGATATATACTGATTGATTACTTAAATTGCAGGATATATACAAAAAGGAAATTAATATGATACATACAGTATGCATTTGAATTTTGATGATGATGATATGGGCATATGGTGATGTTTGTTTGTTTTTGTTTTCCTTTTCCGGGCTCATGCGCGCAATGCAACGACTCACGCAATGCAGAAGTACGATCCTGAGGAGGATGCTGATGACAGCAACACTGATGCAGCAGCAACTGCGCATGGTGATAGCAAAACTACGAAAAAGCTCAAGAGGACGCACTCGCGGTTGAGCTTCCAGTTCCATGTGGGAGAAGAGGGAGACGAATGAAATGACGAAACCAGCCAATGCAATGCAATCGTCCGTCTGTCGTCGATCTTGAGCGCACGACAGAGCAATCGTCCCCCGGCACGGATAGCATTCATTCTGTTATTCGGACGACTAGTTCTCATCTTATTATTTCTCTAGCTTTGTGTGTGCTATATCTCCATGTAATCGTCTCTTGTTTGTGCGGGACTTGTGTGCATCATCCATCTTTCTCCTTTCTCATCCTCAGCAGATGGAGCGGTTGCACTGCATCGGCACTACTGTACCATGCATGAATTTCATGTGTAAATAAACACAGTAACAATTGCCGTTCCTATTCACGATCCCGAGTAGCATATATACAATTTTACTAGGTCCGTCCGTGCCGGTGCGTTGCGATGGGTGAAAAAAATTCACCACATGATCGATTGGTCCTGTCTGAGGATCCTTGCTGATGCCAAACCAAAATCGAGACAAAAAAGGGTTTATGTCCATGTGTTACTAGCTATTCGTGTCTTCCAAACAACAAATTCTTCAGAATCAAAGTCTTCTCATTTTCATAATTAATTATTCATTGAGTTCGTGAACCGTTGCTGTAATGTAAGTTGTGGGATGGGAACTGAAACGGAGCAAGCTGACCCCCGCGTCGTCTACTGAGGCGACTCGGGGGGTGACCAGCAGCCGCTCGGGGTGTTTGGCTGCCTCCTAAATTTTAGTCGTTGTTTTATCGGATATTCGACACATGAAGTATTAAATATAGACTAATTATAAAACTAATAGCATAGTTTACGACTAATTTGCGATACGAATCTTTTGAGCCTAATTAGTCTATGAGTGGACAATATTTGCTACAGTAAATATGTGTTAATGACAGATTAATTAGGCTTACAAAATTCGTCTCGTGGAGTACTGACGGATTATGTAATTTGTTTTTTTATTAATATCCGAACACCCCATACAACATCCTCCCGACAAAACTCCTAAATTTTAATAACCGGATCCAAACACCCCCTTAGCCCGGGCCACTGCTGCTTGCCGATGAGCGGTGGTGGTGGCCCGCAACGGTGTAAAAAAAAGGCTAAAAAGAAAGGCTGACCGCCGCACCTCCCCCCTTGCCCCGAATGGGTTTTTCCTGATGCATGCGATTTTCTTCACATGTAGTTCTTAAAGAGACGGCGCCAGTAGGGAAAGATACATGGACCAGGGCTAAGAACTGCAAGAGTAAATGTACATATACTGGCGGGTTTCACATTTTGAGGCGGGAGCAGAAGGCGAACAGGAACCGGAGCAAGTGATTGGTGGCGGCGGCCGTCGACTGCTCTCTCTCTCTCTCCTTGTTTAGACCTTTCCTTCGTTTGGTTTCACATTTTGGAAACTTTCAAAACTTTTAAAAAAAGGCAAATTTGTTTGCTTTAATATTTTATATTTATTTCATTTTTTGATAGAGAAAAGACAATTTAGAAAACGAGAGAGGCCCTGTTTGGATCAAATTCTCAAAGAAATTTTGAAGGAATATCTTCTATAGCAAATGAATCACATTATAGTGTTTGGAACTAAGGAGAGTTGAATTCCTTGCTAAAGGAAAGAAAAAGGAGCAAAACGTAGGAAATAAAATCTCCACTCCAACTCAAGGGAAAGATTCTTTACTCTTTCTCTTGCTATGTTTGCTCATGTTCTTGAACTTTTTTTTTCCTCCCTTTAGTTTTGAGCAAAGTATTGTAGGTATTTAGATAGCAAGGTATTTTAAGTATTCTTTTAGAGTTTATTACTTATTTTAAAAATATTTGTAAAGCTTTTTAAGTTACTATGGTAATGCCCGTACGTTGCACCGGTGAATGGTAAGATGTAAATCGGAGTAATCCGAGGATTTGGATCCCTATATTATTATTATGAAGCACAGTCCCTTGCACCTTAACCGTGCACCTTGCTTTAATCGAGGCCCATTAAACTCAGTTTAAGAAGGTGCCAAGATTCAATTGGCCCGAATACGAGTGATGGGGACAAGACTTTACCAAATTGACTGTGGAAGGACACGGCATGATGGGCTTTTGCGCGTGGGGAGGCGGTCTGCTCGTTATCTTAGACTGGACCTTAGTAATTAGATACGGACGTGAGAACTCTGACGATTTTGTATCGGAAGCGGACACGTGAACCCGGTCTTTATATCGAAATTGGATAGGACGTGGATGCATGAGCTTTGAGTGGAGATGATTTATATCGGACGTAGACTCGTGGACAGGTATTGGGAATTGATATCACTGGATGATGACGTTTCAATCTTTTTATAGGTGGAGATTCAATCCAATTCAAAAATTCACAGCGATATGCAATATTCTATTGTCTCTAGATGACGGCAACTTCTGGTGTTCGACGACGTTGAAATCGGATGCGGAAGGAGTTCGTGTCGGTTCTAGACTTGGTAATAGTTTGTGTCGCATCGAACGCAGGAGTTAGTATTTGACGCACGTGAGCATGGACTTGCAAAATTCGGTATCACTTGATAGATGATTTTTATAGAGTCTTTTTAGGTGTACTAGATAAATGTCCGTGCATTGCACCGGGGTCATGATTTTTTTTACTGGACTCAGTAATCTGACATGGACGTGTGAGTTCTGAGGACTTTGTATCGGACGCACACGTGGATCCAGTCTTGGTATCGAAACCTTATAGGACACGGACACACGAGCTTCGAGTGGAGGATAATTCGTATTGACGCAGACGCGTAAGCAGATATTGAGATTTGGTATCACTTGATAGACGATGATATTACGGTCTTTTTAGGTGCAGTGTAGAAGAAGTGAAGAAGATATATATACTGTATATGTTTTGCTTAATAATATTTATACGCCTAACCCATTTTGTCCACTGTTGTGACCAAGTTCAATTTTCGTCATTCGGTCCATTAGTATTGCCTGTTGCCTGCTCGTGTATCGTCAATCTGCTATACGTAAATAAGAGAACCCCGCTATCTATATTTTTCTAGCTTCTTGTGAAGCCACCCGGTCGAAGCGTCCTCTCCATTCCGTCATGCACACACATCCTGCTAGTGCACGAAAGCTGAGCAGCCGTTTAAACAAAAACTGATCAGTCATTGCTATCTATTAGTCTGTCTCGCTTTTCAGCCCACCAAGCACCATCCATTTATAACTACTCTTTTAACCCGAACAGGAATCCCTGCCTCCTCCTGGCTTCTAGCACTGTTCATTTTCCTTTCTTTCCTTCCCCTTTTCTGTTTCCTTTTTTTCCCTTTTCATTACCTGCTTCTGGCACTGTTTATTTGCTTTTTTTCCCACGCCCGGCTACTGTTCTCCTTTCCTCTTTTTTTTCTTCTCCGGCCTTCGGCCGCTGTTTGGTACTGTTCAGCCTTTCCGTTCCTCTCACGCAGCGGAGCGTGCGAATCTGCCTATACTATTCATAAAGCGCTTGCAAATTGGAGCGGCGGTGGTCAGCTCACGGGCACATGCAGCAGCCCACACAGCGCTGCACAACGGCCTCTGTTCGCTTGTTCTGTGAGCCCTATGTTTCATTAAAGAAATAGTGTTTTTCTTTCATAATAAATCAACGAATAATATTTTCAGCTATAATTTTTTAGCGAAGCGAACAGGACCAACGTCATGGCGGCAGCCTCTGTTAATCTACTAGTGATGGGCGCGCGAGTCACTGGCCGTACTTGTATTAGGCAATGGAAAATTCGCAATGGAAAAGCACTTACAGTGAACGCAATAGGCATTTGCCTGCACCATTCAGCTAACAGGTAGTCCAGCAATACATTCTAAAACAGCTGCGATCACGTGCGATATGTCAAAACAACACATATATATTTTACGCGAGACATAAAGAGTGTTCAAATAGTACTTAGTCTTACACAAGATAGGCCTACACTGACACGTTAAATGTCCAAGCATTACATATGTTTTACATAGAACAGTCTTAGGATAGAAAACAAAGAAGGCATATACTGCGAGATGGCACAACATAGCATACTGCATACATCAAAAATCATAGTAGCAGATGATAAGATGTAGCCCCTAAGGAAATTGGCATATGCTTGAAAGGCTGCCCTAATCTCCAGTGCCATAGGAGCACAATGCTTAGCACATGTCATAGGAGCACAGGGTTAGCTATAATATTTAAGGGAAGTAGCTACTGCTCTTGAGCTTATCCTGATCTTGGTTATGAAATGTCACTGTATTGAAGCCTTGGGTTCTAGCTGAATATCACCTCTACGCTGTTGCTCATAAGCTTCTTCAAGGATCTCTCTACCCACATCGAATTGTTCCGCTGGTATACAAAAGTGAGAAAAATGTTCATTGAAGTAAACTGGCAGCGAGAATGGTAAATGACATATAAGATGATTGTTTGCTCAGTCTATAAAAAAGATGACCATCTATTCATTACTTGTGCTACCACCGAAACATAGTTTTTTTATGTTTGTATGTAGGTCTGTTGAATCAGAGTGACTGCAAAGGTGAACCTTAATGAAACTATTTTTGTAATATACCGTGGAAATGTGCGAGTAGCTGTGGCTGCAACCTATTTTCTGTTGACTACAATTTTCCTGACCTTCAAACTCTAATCTGTAAATAGTATATCAACAATAACATATTAGTAATACAGATGTTACATCTTATTTTGTGTTATTTTCTAATTTGCATAGAGAGTCTAGGTAAATTATTTTTAGGATGTCATACATAGTGCATCTGCTTAAAATGGTCTAGACCCTGAAACAAGAGTGATTAAAATACCCCAGCTAGAAGCAGTGTTTCCACTCTATTCTTGGCTTGATATGCTCCTATTAACATCAGTAATTGGATGCCTGATTCTAGGATTTTCCAAAAGCAGTGAAATGACAATTAAATTACTTGAGTAAGTCTTTGCCAGGCTCCAAACAATAACAATATGTAGTTTAGCTTCAACCTCAATATACACCTGGCAAACAGACCTTTACAAAAATAGAAAGCAAATCAATTTGTGGAGTACATTCATAGGACAACACTAAAATGCTAGCGAAATGTATAGAAAGA